AACATAATGGCCCAACTCCTTTACTCAAAGGTCTGAGTAATGAAGGCAAGCGTGCTAAACACCTTGTTAGCCACCCTGACTGTATGTGATGCAAACTTCAAAGAATTATGTATTTGAACACCTAGGTCTCTCTGTTCTACAACACTACCCAAGGCCCTACTTTTAAATGCGTAAGTCCTGCCCTTGTTTGTTTTACCAAAATACAATACCTCACATTTATTCAAATTAACCTCCTCATCCATTGACCCAATTGATCAAGATCACTTTGTAACCTTCAATAATCTTCTTCACGATCCACTATACTACCAATTTTGGTGTCATCTGCAAACTTACTAACAATGCCTTCTGTAATATTCTCATCTAAATCATGTATATAAATGACAAGGAAAAGTGGACCCAGCACAAATCCCTTTGGAACGCCACTGGTCACAGGCCTTCAGTCCGAAAAACAACCATCCATCGTCACTCTCTGTCTCCTGCTGTTAAGTGAATTTTGTGTCCAATTGGCAAACTCGTCACTGAGCTGCTGTAATCAGCTAGGAGATTACCCCAGTAAGTGAGACCAATTCTTATCATCGCAGCTCAGTTGAACCACAGATTATATACATACCATCCCTGTGTTTCACTGTGGGCACGCCATTTCCAAATAGAGCCAGTGGAGGAAGTAACTGTCTGTTAGTCAACACAACCTCCTCCAGGACCCAGTGAGCTCACGCATTCCTTGTGTCGATCTATATCCAGCCTTGTTCCACCGCACTTTGCGAAATGCACATTTTTTCCATTTGATTGAGTAGTTCATGGTGCAAAGTTCACAAAAATAACCTCACTCAGAAACAGCATCACAGTGGAGATGGTTTGGAGAGCACCCAACAAGAAATACTGCTGTGATGAGAAGCCTTAACCACATCAACATGCAGATCTGGTCCGAGCAATTAGCACCAAATTCTCAGCGTGTTCAAAGTGAAGCTTTAACCTCCTGCTTCCTTCGTTTGTTCAAACAACAGACAGGGGTCAAGAAAGGTCACTTTACTCAACTCTGACCCTGAATCTCTGCAGTCAATTTGTTTTTCAACAACAACAACTTGCATTTATGTAGCATATTTGACCCAATAAAAACATTTCAAGATGCTTGACAGGAATTTTGTCAAACATAATTTTGGTCACCAAGGGGATATTAGTACAAGTGACCAAACAGCAGAGAGGGCAAAGGGATTTAGGAGGGAATGGAACAATCTCAAATGGTGGAGCAATTAAGTTAGGAGATGTGCAAGAGGCCCAGATGATAGGACCACAGATATGTCCAAGGGTTCTACAGTGATTTTATGCAGACTGGGAGTGTTCAAGTCTGTGGATGGGCTTCAACACAAGGAGGAATTTCTTAAAATCAAACTGCTGCTGGGCCAGTTGCTAATGAGTTTCAGCAAGAGATGGATGAATCGTTGTTCGGCACAAATTTAAGTTGAGGATCACCTTTAGCGGGCTTGAGTCCTGCCAAGAGAATATGAGAACAGTGGAGTCCGGAGGTGACGAAGACAGAGATCAATCAGAGTTTCAATGGCAGATGACCTGAGCCAGAATTGGTAATGGGCAGGGGCAATTTACCTTCATAATATACACATGCCTGATACAGAAAGAAATTGGGAAAGGAAGGAAGAAAGGAAAATTAATGGTATTGTGGACAGTGAAGAAAGTTATCTAACATTACAAAGAGATGTTGACCAATTAGGTCAATGGGCTGAGGAATGGCAGATGGAATTTATTTTGGTTAAATGCGACGTATTGCATTTTGGTAAAACAAACAAGGGCAGGACTTACACAGTTAATGGTAAGGCCCTGGGTAGTGTTGTCAAACAGGGAAACCCAGGGCTTTAGGTACATAATTCTTTGAAAGTTGCATCACATGTAGGCAGGGTGGTTAAGAAGGCATTTAGCACGCTTGCCTTCATTGCTCAGAACTTTGAGTATAGGAGTTGGGACGTCACGTTGAGGCTGTACAGGACGTTAGTGAGGCCTTTTCTGGAGTACTGTGTGCAGTTCTCATTATCCTGCTATAAGAAGGATACTATTAGGAGAGGGTTCAAATAAGAATTGCCAGGATATTGCTGGGAATGGAGAGTTTGAGTTATATAAATAGGCTAGATAGGCTGGGACTTTTTCATAGAAGATTAGGAGGTTGAGGGTTGACCTTACAGAGTTTATAAAATCATGAGGGATATAGATAAGATGAATGACAAGGGTCTTTTCCCTAGAGTTGGGGAGTTCAAAAGTAGGGGGCGTATTTTCAAGGTGAGAGGAGAAAGTTTTAAAAAGGACACGAGGGGCAACTTTTTAACACAGAGAGTGGTTGGTGTGTGGAATGAACTGCCAGAGGAAGTGGTGGATGCGGGTACAGTTACAATGTTTAAAAGACATTTGGGTAAGTGCACGAATAGGAAAGGTTCAGTGGGATATGGGCCAAATGCAGGCAGGTGGGACTAGTTTAGTTTGGGAACATGGTCGGCATTGAGTGGTTGGACCGAAGGGTCTGTTTCTGTGCTGTACGACTCTATGAAGGAAGGAAGAAAAGGAAAGGAAAGGAAGGAAGGATGAAAAGGAGGTCAGTAGAGGGGGAACACACACACAGAACAAGCGGTGCCTCTGGAACAGTACCTTCCCTTGAAGGATAAGCACATTGGCTAGAAAGCGATTAACAAAAGATTTATTCCATTTAGGCCATTGGAAATAATCTCGATGCAACTCTGGTCTTTCCAACCCAAATTCAAAATCAGTGCCAAAGAAGTATAGAAAAAGAGAGCTAAGACTTTGTCATGTCAAAGTGACACATCATGACTGTTTGCTTCAATCTCCTTATCTGGAGCCACAGGGAACCATACGGAAGGTGGCAGGACATCACACATGTTAGCGTGAGTGTAGCAGACATGCCTAGGACATGATGCCAACAAACGGGTGCTTGTGGAAGCGTGTGATGATTAAAACAAGGAGAATGAGCCTCCTCAAGGCTGGGTGGAACATGAACTGAAGCCACAGTCTAGTTGTGGTCGGGTATGATTGGGAGTAAGCTTTCAACGAAAACTCAGGGCTGTGTTGGCACTTGCGGTGTGGGATAAGAGTTTACTTGAAGGGAAGTCACTGTCACTCCAGTGCTTTTTGAAAGCCTCAATTCCTGCAACTCACTGCTCCCAACATTCCATTGAGTTAAAGGAAAAGAAATTTTAAAAATGTCACACACATAACTAGTGCCCAACACAACAGTGCCTTCTTTCAGATGAGGTGTTAAACTGAGGCTACCTGTCCTCTCAGGTAGAGATGGAAGATTCCAAAGCTACTGTTCGAAGAGGAACCAGTTTCTGGGATAATGTAACATATCTCAATAGAGATGTTATGTTCATATTTCATTGCAGCTTCTGGGAGCTTGCTGTGTGCATGTTAGCTGTCATTTTTCCTAGATTTCAGCAGCGACTGCATTTCGAAAACACTCAATCGGCATAAGTCAGGAGTGCAATGGAATACTCTCCAACTGCCTGGATGAGCTGCTTCAACAGCATTCAGGAAGGTCAACACTATCCAGGACAAAGCAGCCTGCTTGATTAGCACCCCATCCATCATCTTCAATATTCTCCACAGACGTGAGGAAAAACATTTTCACCCAGAGCGGGATGGGAATCTGGAACTTTACGAGGGGTAGAGGCTGAAACACTCACAGTATTTAAATATTTAGATGTGCGCTTGGATGGCTAAAGCATGCAAGGTTATTGGTCAAGTGCTGGGAAATGAGATGAGAATAGTGAGGTGGCTGCTGACAAGCATGGATGCGACGGGCTAAAGGGCTTTTTGCTGTGGTGTAGATCTCTATGACTCTACACCACCAACGCACAGTGCCAGCAACTTACACCATCAATAAAACCCACTGCAGCAAGTCACCAAGGCTTTTTCAACAGCGCCTTCCAATTGTGCAACATTTAGAAAGTTGGCACATCCAGCTGCAATCTCCCCTTGAATTGTGTACTGTCCTGACTTGGAAATAGAGTCATAGAGATGTACCGCATGGAAACAAACCTTTCTGTCCAACTCATCCGTGCTGACCAGATATCCTAAATTAATCTAATCCCATTTGCCAGCATTTGGTCCATATCCCTCTAAACCTTTTCTATTCATATATCCATCCAGATGCCTTTTAAATTTTGAAATTGTTCCAGGCTCCAACACCTCCTCTGGCAGCTCATTCCACACACGCACCACCTACTGCATGAAAAAGTTACTCCTTAGGTCCCTTTTAAATCTTTCCCTTCCCACCTTAAACCTATGCCCTCTAATTTTGGACACCCCTACCCTGGGAAAAAGACTTTGGCTGTTTACCCTGTCCATGTCGCTCATGATTTTATATACCTCTGTAAGGTCACCCCTCAGCCTTCAACGCTCCAGGAAAAACAGCCCTCGCCTATTCAGCTTCTGTCTATAGCTCAAACCCTCCAATCCCAGCAACGTCCTCGTAAATCTTTTCTGAACCCTTTCAAGTTTCACCACATCTTTCCTATAGCAGGGAGACCAGAATTGAATGCAATATTTTAAAAGTGGCCTAATATATTGTTCCTTTACTGTTGTTGTGTAAAAATTCTGGGACTCCCCTCTCGCAGTGTTGTATTTGTACCGAAGTAAACGGTTCATAGAGGAAACTTACCATCACCTTTCCATGGACAATTTTGGATTGACAACAATTGATGGCTTTGCCAAAGACAGTCTCATCACATGAAACAAAATGATAAAAAAGTCTTTGGAAATCCTAAGGTTGTGATACGTGCTATAAAAATGCAAGAACCTCCTTTTTTTTTCTAATTTCAACTTAATTTCAAAAGAATTTGCAGGAGTTGACAGATGTTTGATGAAAGTTAAATAAGGGACATTTCCTGAGCACAGAATCTCTTATTACCAACAATCCTTTTTGTTAAATACAACACTACTTTATGGATTGTGCTTCTTTTGTTCTGATACTCTGTCTGAAGACTGCCAAAACCACCCAAGAACACTGGAGTCTGGCTTTCACCAGCTATTCCTGACATTGGCAAGCAATCATTCATGGATGCAAACATCTGGCATGAGACAGAACACAACACTCTCAAACACTGTGGAAAGAGGAACTCCCCCTGTTACTGGGGCTGTTCTGACAGAGACAGCTATGAGGAACAGACTGATAGCTCACAGATCTTCTGTGAAGTAATAACAGTACCTTGAAGTTACAGCAAGGACAGCACACATGTGTTCAATGAAGGATAAAATTCTGAATGCAGCATAGCACACTTCCAGAATTTATGTCTTTGCAATCCTTGCTTTACCACTAAGTGCATTCACTGGTCAGTAATCACAGATTTAATAACTGAGCACAGCTCACTATGACGGCTCCTTCTGCACACAGCTCAACATTGATCAATTAACCCTTATATGTTTATTACTTCTTTTATATTTATCTATCTATCGATCTATCTATCTATCTATCTATTTATCTATCCATCTATCTATCTATTGTCATGGTTGCTCAGTGGTTAGCATTGCTGCATCACAGCACTAGTGACCCAGATTTAATTCCACCCTCTGGCAACTGTGTGGAGTTTGCACATTCTCGGTGTGTCTGCCTGGGCTTTCTCCAGGTGCTCCAGATTCCTCCCACAGTCCAAGGATGTGCAGGTTAGGTGGATTGGCCATGGGAAATGCAAGGTTACAGGGTTAGGGTGGGGTGTGTGGGTCCGGGTGGGATGCTCTTCAGAGGGTCAGTGTGGACTCGATGGGCTGAATGACCTGATGTCACACGGTAGGGATGCTATGACCTCTATTCTATCCATCTATTTATGTCTATCATAAAAATACCAAAGAACTATGGATGCTGGAAATTAGAAACAAAGTCATAAATTGCTGGAAAAACACAGCAGGTCAGACAGCATCTGTGGAGAGAAAGCAGAGTTAACGTTTTGGGTCCAGTGACCCTTCATCAGAAATGGTATTGGATCTGAAATGTTAACTCTGCTTACTCTCCACAGATGCTGAGTTTTTACAGCAATTTATGATTTTGTATCTGCCTGTCTCTCTGTTTACTTATCTGTCTATTTACCTGTCTATTCTGTTCATCTCTCTCCAGCCATTCACTTCTGGCTGAAGATTGTTGCAAATGCTTCTTTTGCACTGATAGGGAGATTTCTCCTCACCGTAGGTATTGATAAATATCAGGCAAATGTATATTACAATTCCGTGGTTCAGTTCTATAGCTGAACTGCAGCCTAAATTCATACACCCACATTTGCCCGATATTTATCAACACTTTTGGTGAAAAGAAATCAGTTGCTGAAAATTAATAACAAAAACAGAAGTTGCTGGAAAAGCTCAGCATCTGTGAAGGAAAAAACAGAGTTAACGCTTCGGGTCCAGTGACCCTTCCTCAGAACAGGATAGATTCTGCCCCTACATTGGCCCTATTCTGCCCCTATTTTTTTTCACTGAAAATTACCAATTGTCCCAGTGACAGTTGATGCTTGTGGGAGAGAACTTACTCCTCCTGCTTTGTTTGCTGACACCTAATGGCTGTGCCTCAGTGGAAAACATTCTTGCTTTCTGAGGCTAAACATTTGGGGTTCAGGTCTTACTTGAAAAGATTACACGTACAGTATAATCGAGGCAGTAGTGAGGGAGTACTGCCTTGAAGAGTAAGTTCCAGTAAGATGGCAGGGGAGCAGGACTTCCGAGGCCAAGGCTCGTCCATTCCGTCTGCAATCCTTTTCTTTCTTTTTCTGTCTTTTCTTGTTCCTCTTCTTTTCTCTCTCTCTTTTATTTTACTTTTGTCTCTTATCGAAGAGCTCGGTCATGGCGACGGGATCGGCGGCAGCAAGTAGGCCCAGCGCGGACTGATGGCGGTGAAATTGGGTTTCCGGCAGCTTCCGCATTTTCGAGGCCGCCCCGTGGAGGCTGAGGTTCCCGGCGGCATCTGGGCCCGGCGCAGACTCGTAGGGGGGTGGCGGCGACGACGGAGGAGACGAGTTTGGGCCCAGAACAGGACCCGGCAGCGGCTGCACCGGAGAGGTGGGCCCAGAGCAGACTCGTGGCGGCGGTGTCGTGTTTGGGCCGTCGTGGTGCCCGGCGGCATCTACATTGGCGAGGCCCAGCAAGGGCTCATAGCGGTGAGGGTATTGGTGATGGCGGCAAAAAATGGCGGCTTACCTTCCAGAAGCGGCAGCGCGGCGAAGGGGACTCGTACCTGGCCACCAGGCCCATGGCGGAGCACTTAACCAGAAGGACTGCAAAGTCGAACACTTTTTTCTTAGTTTCTCTATTTTTCTGCCCCTGTGTTCTACGGTTCGGTTTATTTTTCTGTGTTTTGAGGTGGCGCCGGAGATTGGTGACACTGTGCAACGCTTTTCATCGCATTTTGTAACAAAATACACGTGACATTAGACGAATCAAATCAAATCAAATACTATTCTAACGTTTGGCCCCACACATCGGCACCAGCTCTCTGAGTGTCCAATGTATGTCAGAGGAGAAGTATGCCATTCAGCCCATTGAGCTTGCTCCACCATTCATTGAGATCATGACTGATCTAATAATCCTCAACTCCACTTTTCTGCCTTTGATTTCCTTACTGATTAAAAATCTGTCTATCTCAGCCCTGAATATTCTTAACGACCCAGCCTCGACAGCTCTCTACGGTAAAGAATTCCACTGATTCACTGCCTCAGAGAGAAGAAATTCCATCTCTGTCTGAAATGTGCAACCCCTTTATGCTGAGGTGATGCCCTCAGATCCTAGACTCTCCCAAAAGGGGAAACTATCTTTCCACATGGACCCTGTCAATCCCCTAAGAATCTTGTATGTTTTAATAAGGTCACCTCTCATTCTTCTAAATTCCAATGAGTACAGGCCCAAACTATTCACCTCTACTCATAAGACTGTCACTCCACACCTAGTGTATCAAGTATCATTTTCCTGCCTTCTCCCTATACTGCACATTCTTCCCTCTCAAATAACAGCCTAATTCCCTTTACAATGTCTCAATTGAACCTGCCTCCACTGAATGTCAGGCAATAGATATCAGACATGAACCATTCACTGCATGAAAGAACTTTTCCCTTGTGGCGTTTTCTTTCCTTCTTTTGTTAGTTACTTCCAATCTGTTCTCACTCATTCCCGATCCTTTCACC